GACGGAGGGAGGGACCCCCTGCCTGGGAGCCGGAGCCTGCGCCCTGGAGGGCTTCCCGGCGCTCAGGGTCCGGCCAAGGCGTGGCTGTTGCTTTGTTTCTGGCGGACAGCGTTAGAAGTTGGAAAAAGACAAACGGTGACAGCATCTTTCCCTGAGAAGCGGCGTGCTCCAAGCAGCCCTCCTAAGGACAGCTCGAGCATCCTTCTTCGTTGTCCCTCCTCCCTGAGGCCCCCTCTGTGCTAGGCTGTGTGCCAGGGTGTGTGCCAGCTGCTAGTATGTGCCCGGGTGTCAGGCTCCACCAGGGCACAGACTCCCACTTCCCCTTTTTCTCCGACCTGTTGGTGGCCGGTGCTCAGCACTGTGGCTGCCCCCGTGAACTTTCTAAAATGCAGATCTTACCTGCCACTCCCAACACCGCCCACCCCATGGCCTGCAGGTGAGAGAGGGTACATGCTTCAGCCCCAGCTGGGAGTCCTCTGTGAGTTGGTGTCATCACCTCCTACCTCCACTCAGCCATCCGGAGGCTGGCACGCGGGTCCCATCCCCGGGTTCCCTTTCCCAGCACCCACCCCCATCATTCCGCCTCTTCCACTTCTCTGAGGTTTAAAATCTTCCCCATCCTGGTAGACTCAACTTCGGGGCTGAGAGGCCATGCCTGGCTCCCCCTCCACCTAGAAGGAAGGCACGTCTCTTCTTGGCTGCAGCCCCGTTCTCCCTACACAGTCAGCGGGGGTCGCTGCCCAGCTATAGACCGACTGCCCAGCTATAGACCGGCTTCCCACAGACACCTCACTCCTGGCCGCCAGACAGGGGCCCTGACTCTCTGGGCATAGCTACTGCCTCACAGGAGGCCCTCAATGAACAGCTTGAACAGAAGTCCTGCTTCGTGGAGGCTGGGGTGTCAGCCTGAGGAGGGTGAAGCTGGGTCCCTTCTGGAATCTGTCCTCGAGATCCAGCCTCATGGGCACGCGCTGGGAGTATGCCTTCCCCTGGCATTGGCCTTACATTGCCTTGCCCGGAGTGCAGGTCTGGCCTCCAGCCCTGGCTGTGCTCACCACTTGCTGTGTGATCCTGAGCTGCATCTCCAGGCTGGGCGGCCGCCTCGGCGCCGGGATGCGGCTCTGGCTGCCAGGCGGAGACCCAGGCGCGGATGGAGCAGTGCAGGGGGAGAAGTGAAGGTGCATGGAGGGCTCTTTCCCCATCTGTACAGTGAGGTGGCCCCAACGATCCCCTGGGTCCTTCACAGTGTGGAAAGGTGACATGAGGCGTCGTCATGAAGCTAAAATTCATGACGGTAGGTGGTGATGGGGCAAGAGCATGGCAGATGTGCGTGAGCACTTTAAGGAATCAACTCCTTTCCCTGTAGATTAAGAGAAAATCCACAAATTTCCTAAAGCCACATTTTAATCAGTGGTTTCCAGCACCTCCCCTGAGAAGCAATTCTGCCCTGCTGTCAGCTGAGTGCTCACTCTTCTATCTGTTCACTCATCTATCCATCTCTCCCTGCCTTCTTGCTCCCTTCTCTCCCTCCCTTTTTTCCATCCATTCCACCGTCTGTCCGCTCTGTACGGTGGCCTCGGTGCTGTGGAGGGCATGACCCAGTCCTCAGGAGTGTTCATTTGGATTGTGAAATGAATCAATGAACCAAATCATCTGGGGATGAGAGACAGGCATCGCATGCTTCAATAAGAGGTGGGAAGTGGCTCCGCCACTAGACAGGAGCAGGTGAAGGGCAGTGGGAGCTCAGGGGAAGGAGAGGTCTCCTTTGCAAAAGGGCTGTTGGAAGCTCCTGGAGGAGGTGGTCAAACCCCAGAGAGTCTTGGGAATTTGGACTTTATCCCTGAGACCTGCAGTGCCATAGAAAGGTGTTCACTGACGGTGGCAGGAGCGTGGTCAGATGGGAAGAGGGCAGAGGTGGGGGTCAGGAAGAGGTTGCGGCCGTTATCAGGCAACCGATGACAGGGACTCTAAGGAACTGCAGAGGAGGAGAGGATGGGTTTGGGAGGTGGTACCCCCAAGCCAGTTTTGGTGACTAACTTGTAAAGGAGAGGACAGCGCCACAGGTATGTGTGGGTGCAAGATGGTGGTGACAGCTTCTAGGACTGAAGATACAGAATCAAGCAGGTTTCAGAGAAGGGGGACAGTGGCAGAGGGCAGGTTAGAGCTGGTTCAGGCAGGTGCCACCCCCCACACACAACCAGGGACCTTCCAGAATGCTGGCTCAGGCCTCTCTCCCTTATAGCCACATGCGTTGTATTTGTCTCTCCCAAAGACTGGGAGCCCCCAGGACATTCCTGGCTCCCCTAAGGGTCTCCAAGAGAAAGTGAGCTTTCTGGGTGGCCCAGGTCCAAAGGGCCTTCAGTGCAGCCCCAACCAGCAGCTCCAGGCCACCAGCCTGAGCTCTGCGCTGCAGGGCCTGTAGCGCTCACAAATGTGTAGCTATAGTGGGCTTGATGTGGTTTCATAAAGACCGTTGTAAGGAGCTGGTCCTTGTCTCTTCTGTGCCTTCCTTTCCTCATAGGAACTCATCTCTCTTTAATCTTAAACCTCAGAGATACCACAGAGCTACTTGGGGTTAGTAGGCATTGCTGGAAAACTGTTACTGCGCTAACACAACTTTAATTCCAGGAGACGCTCAGCCCAGTGTGCAGAGACTTCCAGGTCCATCGCCCACCTTGCTGGGCTTCAGTTTGCAGCAACTGTGATGGGGGCAGAGAAAGACAATGGGCCCTCAGCGCAGGCCTTGGGCTCAGTGGAAACCGCTAGTCCCTAATATAGTGACAACCAATTGTTAAGCTCCTGGTGCATGCCAGGCTTGGAGCTTCTTACTATCGATTGTGTAGATTTATAGAGGTTGAGTACCATGCCCAACTCAGACCTTGGCCAGTAGGTGGACAATCTGACTTCCCGGATGTGGGCTTTCTCCCGTACCACACTGATCCCTTGCCACCTGCTCCCTGCCTCCTTCTCAGCCTGGAATCTGGCTCAGGAGGGACTTCTGCACACTCTCTAATTCCCTCTAAAAAAAAGTCCCCTCCACCCACCTCTGCCATCAGGGCAGAAAGCATTTAGGGACCAACTGGCCCAGGAATTTTCTACTGAGCAGGGCCCTGACACCTCTGCAGGGTGTGGCTGCGTGGGCCACATCGGTTCCAGCTGTTCCATTTTCATCTGTTGATTTTGCTGGGGTAGGGGAGGGGCGGAAAGTTCAAAGAAAGGGTTTCCCTGCTTTGAAGATATTTTGAAAACCACAGGTGTCATACTTCCTTCTCACACAGATGGGGATGTGGAACCCAGAGAGGCAGGCCTGGAGCATGGTCACGGGCTGCCCTGGCTCCCTCAGTCCCTCAGGGTCAGCCTGGAACCATCAGCCACCGTTCTTGCTTAGGGAAAGGGAAGTACATGCAAAGTGGAAAGTAGGAGAGATTTGAAACAGGGGAGGCTGCTCTTAGATCTGGCTCGAATGTGGACTCACTGTATGAAATTGTGAAATTCACATGTCCTCCCAAAGACTCTAGCTTCCTCATCTGTAAAGAGAAGACTGTGGTCCAATTCATTTGCTTACTCATTCACTCAGCAAATACCTGATGAGCTCAGAGGTGCTGAAAGAGGTCATCGAAGATTGATAGAGCCCGGCTGACCTGGTTCCGTGGTTGAGCCTCAACCTATGAACCGGGAGGTCACGGTTCAGTTCCCGGTCAGGGCACATGCCCAGGTTGCCAGCTCGATCCTCCGTGTGGGGCGTGCAGGAGGCAGCCGAGCAAGGATTCTCGCTCATCATTGATGTTTCTATCTTTCTCTCCCTTTCCCTTCCTCTCTGAAATCAATAAAAAATCCGCTTTAAAAAAAAAAGATTGATACCAATACCAGCAGCCTGGCTCCCGTGGAAATCAGGGATGGGATCCGATGGGACAGCGTCTCCCAAAGCCAGAAGCTTTGTTAGTAATGATGTCATTATAATTGACACCGAGTAACTGTTCACTGTGTTCCAGAACTGTTCTAAAGTGGTGACTTAGATTAATACTTGTAATTCTCCTAACAGCCCTGTGAGGTGGACACTGCTATCTCCATCTTTCTATGCGGGGGGTGGGTTGGGGGCGGGAGGGATGAGGCATAGAGTGATTAAGCAACTTGACCAAAATCACACCACACAGCTAGTCAGAGGCAGAGCTGGTATTTGCCTCTCGAATTTCCTGGAAACAGAAGCTGCTCTTTCTTCCATTCTCTTTTTCCTCCTCAACTTTTCATTCTTCCTTCCTGATAAACCAGTTTTACCCCAAAGGTGGGACCAGGGCAGTTTCCAGTACAGCTGAAGGTCTAATTGGCTTTAGTCAGCAGTTCATGGGTTCATTGCTTTCTAGCAACTAGAAGGGTGCTCCGGTGAGTTAGTTGTACAAATGGGAGGTTTTTATAGGCATAAAGAGGGTGAGACTAAGAACTTAATAGGGTGTGTTACGTTAGGCAGGGTCCTCTCCCCTTAGGGGGTAGCAGCAGGTCTTCTCAGGCAGTTTGTCCTATTAGCGATCAGGAAATTCGAGACTCATTGGTTTTAAAATTCCACTCCAGGGAGGGGCTGTCGCTGCAGTTGGGTTAGTTACTAGGTTTTGGTTTGGTGAGGGGACTTGGCAAAAGTGTTTCACACCAGCTTCTCGCCAAAGGGCAGAAGGGGCCTGTCCACAATTCCTGCCCCGGCCTCTGGCAGTCTTGGCCTCTGGCGTCCCGGCCTCTGGCGGGAGTGGGGAGAGAGATGAGTCAGGCTGGGCTCCGGGGCCTCAGAGGAGGACAGATGCGGAGGGAGGAGCCTGTGCTAGCCCACAGCCAGGCGGGAGGAGGGCACAGACCTCCTTGGAGCCTTTGGCATTTAGAAGCCCAGGCCCCAAAGGACCTTCGAGAGCCCCCCAGGTCAGCCCCCCCCCGAGATGCCTGTGCCCCCCACTCCCGCAGGCAGCCTAGCCCTGGCCCTTCCCTCACCGCTCAGCCCCAGGGAGCCAGCCCAGACGGCCCCTTCCACCTCCCAGCAGCTCCGACCTTGAGCCCCAGACCTGCCCCTAGAGCTTCTACTCCTGCAGCCCCGGTTTGCCTCTGGGGCCCCTTAGGCAGGTCTGAAACCTCAGTTCTCCCCGCCACCCCCCCACACACACTCCCCTCAGAGAGTTGAAGGCAGCTGCCAACCTCACTGAGCCCGACCCTCCTCCAGGTCTGGTCGGTCCCTCTGTCTCTGTGATGCCCTTTGACTTGTATCCCCTGGAGGTGGTGTGGGGTGAAGGACAGCACTTCTCTCCTCACGGGCCCACCCCTGAGCCAGTGTGGCAATGTGAACAGCTTACCTCTCCTCCTGAGCCTCAGTTTCCTCCTTTTAAAAAATGGACAGCTCCCACAAATGGTGGTGAGGAGTAAATGAGAGGGTGCCCAGCCCGGCACCCAGCAGTGGTTGCCAACATGCAGAAGAAAGGACCTCCCTCATTCCGGGCCGGCACCCTGAGCTCCGTGGGTCCTCCTATGAGGACATAATCCCTCTCCCCATTGAGGGCTGGCCGTGAGGGCTCTCCCTGCCTGTGCGGGGATGGGTAGGTTTCCTTTGACCTCCTTTTCCCGATGTTTATCTTCGTCCTTGGGCTTTTCTACAGAAGTGGGGTGTGCCTCTTGCTGGGTGTGGTCACCAGTGATCTTGTGTCTCCCTGAGGCTGAGGCCCTGCTGTGTGGAGCCTCCAGGGCCGGGGCTGTCTGCTGTGCTGGGAGGGGACTCCTCCGAGGGGGTGGGGGTGCCTCCCAGAGGGTGGGGAGGGAGGGCTCCCATCATGATTACCAGGAAGTTCTCCTGACCCCTTCCCGGGAACCCTGCCCCCAGGAACTGGGCCTGGTGGGGACGATGACTGGCTTTGGTTTCTAGGCAGCAGGCTTAGGTCAGCACAGGAACTTTCGCTTTTATTTCTCTTAACTTCCCATAGCCTGAGAGTGCAGTGACCTAGTTTTTAGCAGCCTTATAAATATCCCTCTGCCAAGGAGACTGCAGGCCCACAGCCCTGCGGACCAAGTGCAGCCCGGCCCTGGCTCCGGGGCGGCCTGTCCACGGGCTTCGCGTCCGTGTCCTGCCCACACCGCCCTGCTGGGCCTCACCGGACTGCCCTGCGGGGCTCCACAGCCCTTGGGTTGGTGCCACTCATTCTTCAACTCACCGAAAGCCCCTGGGACAGCTCTGCCTCCACAGCGGGCAGTTGCCTTCATCTCCCCTGGGTTGGCATCTGGCCCGAAGCTCCTGAGGGCGAGTCTGGCCCTCTTCCCCTCCAGTCCACTCCCCGGCCCAGTGCGTTTGATTTGAAGGCCCAGGAGACACGGGGATCCGGGATCGGGGATCAGGCTGAGAGAGGGGGAGGGATTCCCTGATGGCTCATCTGCTGGGTGCCTGGGGTGAAAAGACAGCCGAGGAGGACAGCTGACGAACGTGACCCGGGGTAATGGCAGGAGTAACTGATGCTTCCTGATGCTTCTCTCATTCTCCAGTTTGCTCCCTGCCTGCCCTCAGCCAGGCCTTGGGGACAGGCTCCTGCCCAATGGGACGAGCTCAGTTTAAGGGTTCTCTGTAGCCCTCACTCCTGACTCATCCAGTTCACCCCATTCTCACTCCCAGATCCCTATAGCTGTCACTCCGTGCCTTCACAGTCCACGCTGGGCTTGCTGCTGTCCAGACATCTTTGGGGCCTCCTCTCTGGGGTCACCTCCTTCCTGAGTCCCCAGACCACGTTAGGTTGCCTGTCAAGTTCCTCTTGCACCTGTGCTCAGCTGCACCGGGGCCCTGTCGCCCCGTTTGCTAGTGTCTGTCTGCAGGCTGTCTCCCTTCGGAGTGTGAGCTCTTTGAGGCAGAACCTGGTTGTTTTGTCCCTGGGCACCTCGCACACCATACAGGACCTGGCACGGAGGAGGTGCTCAGAGAGCACGGGAACCGATGGGTGGGCTGGGATTGGGATGCTGCTGCAGCAGAGAGGACAGATCAATGGGTGGATGGATGAAGGGTGGGGAGATGAACGGGGGTGTTGGATGGATGGGGTTCCGTTTCAGATCCAAATTGATGTGACTTCTGTCCACTACTGACCTTGCCTGACCTGGCTTCACCCACTTATTCTTCCCCTAATCCTAGCCCCCAGACCCTGCCCTTTCTAAGGTCATGACCCCATTGAGCACAGGCTCCATTTCATCCCTCAGTGCACCTCTGCACCCAACGCCAACACATTCTTTTCCACACTCTCCCCTCATTCGCTTCCCAATGCTGTCCTTCCTGGTCCTTTTTTCTTCACCTGTCCCTCTGTCTTCTTAATTTTACCAGCCCAGTGTGGGGCCCTTCCACCCCGGCCCCTCTCTCTGAGCGCCCACCTCCAGTCCTGCCCAGTCCCCACCAGGCACCATAGGTCCAGTCTGAGATATCCAGTCTCCCTCAGACATTGTCTTTCAGAAGTCCCATTGCTCACTGCCCAGCACCCCCGCACCCCACCCCAACATCTGCTCTGCACCCCTGGCCCATCCTCCACTCAGCAGCCAGCAGGAACTTTCGGAAACACCGATCTCACCAGCTCACTCCTCTGCCCCCAGTCAGTTGCTTCCCACTGCTTTGGGTAAAGACCCAGATCCCTCACATGGCCCATAGGGCCCTGCATAATCCATGGGTGCAGATGTGCAGAGGTGTGAGGGAGGGAGACGGGGGGGGCAGAGGGGTGAGGGAGGGAGACAGGGTGGGCAGAGAGGAGAGGGAGGGAGACAGGGTGGCAGAGGTGTGAGGGAGGGAGACAGGGGGGCAGAGGGGTGAGGGAGGGAGACAGGGTGGGCAGAGAGGAGAGGGAGGGAGACAGGGTGGCAGAGGGGTGAGGGAGGGAGACAGGGGGGCAGAGGGGTGAGGGAGGGAGACAGGGTCGGCAGAGAGGAGAGGGAGGGAGACAGGGTCGGCAGAGAGGAGAGGGAGGGAGACAGGGTCGGCAGAGAGGAGAGGGAGGGAGACAGGGTCGGCAGAGAGGAGAGGGAGGGAGACAGGGTCGGCAGAGAGGAGAGGGAGGGAGACAGGGTCGGCAGAGAGGAGAGGGAGGGAGACAGGGTCGGCAGAGAGGAGAGGGAGGGAGACAGGGTCGGCAGAGAGGAGAGGGAGGGAGACAGGGTCGGCAGAGAGGAGAGGGAGGGAGACAGGGTCGGCAGAGAGGAGAGGGAGGGAGACAGGGTCGGCAGAGAGGAGAGGGAGGGAGACAGGGGGCGGAGGGGTGGAGTACTCCTCACATTGTCCCTTTGGCTGGGGCACTGAGGGGCCTGCCATTGGCTGAGAAGTTGCCCTCACACCCGGCGGGTCTTCTCCCTGCACTGAGACAACCTCCATTTCGGAATCATTGCAGCTTCCAAGCAGTTTAACAACGAGGTCCTGCGGGCCCACAACGAGTACCGGCGGCAGCATGGCGTCCCTCCGCTGAAGCTGTGCAAGAAGCTCAACCAGGAGGCGCAGCAGTGAGTCCCCTGCCCCCGGGGTGACGGCCCTGGGCCCTGGGGGGCTGGGGGGACATGAGTTTCGGGGGCAGGATCAGTCAGGCTTGAATAACGACTCTGCAGGCCCCTTTGTTCCTCTGAACCTCAGTTTGCTCCTCTGTAAAATGGGCTGTTTGGGGCTCAGAAGGGACGCTCCCAGTTTGCGCTGCGAGCCCGGAGCCCCCGAAGGACGGGCGGCCGCGTCGGTTCAGGCTCATCTCGGGCCTCCCTGGCGGCTCCTGAGAAACACCACCCTC